ACGTGTTGAAGTGATTTAATAAATGTTAATTGTAAACAAAAACAAGAAGAGACATGTGGGACGCTCCTTACGCGTCACAACTTTTATACGCGGCACTCAGTACTACATCTGCACCTTAGCGTGTTTTGTCAAATTTTACATTTTTTCTTTATCTGTCATCTAAATCTGCAACGCTTCTCACACCAACACGCTCCTTTAGTTCGCCCCCCCTTCATAGAACCACACACTGAAGAGTACCGGAAGAGGCAGAGGAACGCGAAAGGCAGAGGCCGCACACTGCAGAAGCAGAGTGTGAATGAGATAATGTGAAAAAAAAACAAATATAAGCTGCGGGACGGGATGGGTTTAGCCAAGGCTGTGACGGAGGCAGAGGAACGACAGACTGACATGCCACGCAACTAGAATGCAGACCATTACGCTTTGAAATCGCGTCACCCACGAGACCTGAGTACGTTATCGCAGAGCCAGCAAGGGATGCTCGGAACACACAAATACGTATTTCATTATTTCTATTATTTATATTAAATATATAAATAAAATATAAATAAAAATTATTTTCTCAAAACAAATAGCAATGGGACCAGTGTGCCGAAAAAGTGCTTAAAGCAATGCTTAAAGCGTGATCGAAAACAGTCGAATGGAGAGAGGAGAGAAGAACAAGTGCAGCGACAGCTAAACGGAGAGCGCGCGCTACTGCACAGAAAGTATTGAGAGCGAGAGAGGGAGAACAGTTACTCGAGCTAGAGAGTGAGACAGAAGCGCAACTACAAGAGAGAGCGGCTAATAGTGAGGGCGTACTTACAAAAAGAAAAAGCACACGCGTTTATTCAAAATAGAAAGGAAAATACGGAGCGCAAAACAAAAACACATCTGTGAGCCACTGCAAATTATTTTCTTCATTGTGGCTATACTAATGATCCAATCGGATCCCAATTTGGTGACCTGATAGATATGGTCATTCCCTACTCATATTTTATTTTAAAAATTGTTGATTTGGTAGGTTTTCGCCCTTTTGCGGGGGCGGGGCTAATTTTTGGAAAACACTAGTTTCAGTGTGAGCATACAGCAGTCTGGAGCCAAAATTTGGTGGCTCTAGCTCTTATAGTCTCTGAGTACTAGCCGACAAACAAGACGGACAGACGAACAGACAGACATGGCTCTATTGACTCGTCTATTGATGCTGATCAAGAATAGATATACTTTATGGGGTCGGAAACATTTCCTTCTGTGCGTTACATACAACCGTTATTCACACAAATACAATATACCCAATTTACTCTTCGAGTACCGGGAATAAAAAATAGAAACGAATTCCAAGAGATATTTAGAGCAAAATCACACATATTGATAGTTCTAAGTATAGAAAATTTATATTTTATTTCACCAGCGAACATCATTTATTTAGCTTGCTGAACTTTCGCTTGTGCAAATTCTGGAACCTCTTTAAAACGTTTCGCCAACTGGCTTGATTGTTAGCTCATGGATCTGCACATTAGGCGGAGTCTGAATGCAATAGGTCACCGCATCCGCAACATCTTCAGCACGCAGCATAGGGAAGTTTGGCATTGCCTCCTTGATTTTATCATCAATGATCTCTGTGTCGACAACACCAGGGCTAATGCTTTAAGGGTCGTAAGATATTTTCATAATTAATTATTGCCCAAATTGGAAATATTTATAATTCTCACAGCTATTTTCGTCTGCGTTTTCTTTTCCTATATCACTGTTGATAATCACCACATGGCCATCGTTGACCTTGCGGAGCTGCTGCAAAAGGAAATCCTCTCGAGAAATTCTATGTTTATTCTAGACAGTTCGCGATATTCCAATTTATAGAATTTTCTCGATATGCCTTCGTCTAAAAAAAGCTCTACTCAATTTGTTAATTACTGTTGAGAGAGAATATCATTATCACGTTGTTGTGAGCATATATAGGTACATACTCGAATGTGTGTGTTCCCAAAATATATCTGAAAGAATATACCCAAGAACACTCCGAGTACCTCTTAAAATGCCGATAAACAGACAACAATAAACTGGAATTCCCTATGTAAGCTTCGGGGCTAACTTTGTATATATTCACACAAAAAGTAGTTTGCGAACTTGTACAACCAATACCAATATGATAAATAATAATGGATTAAATATGTTTTTATTTACCAAAATGCACCCATGTGTCACCCATAATGGTAGTCTCTAGCTTCGAGTATCCATCAAAACTTTTCGCCAACTGGCTTGATTGTTAGCTCATGGATCTGCACATTAGGCGGAGTCTGAATGCAATAGGTCACCGCATCTGCGATATCCTGAGCCCGCAGCATGGGCATTGCCTTCTTGCCTGCATCAAAGATCTCAGTGTCGACTGCACCTGGGCTAATGCTCTAAGGGTCGAATGGAAGCTTGTTAATTATTTGCCAAAATATTATTATTAATCGTCAAACTTACAGTTATCTTCGTCTCTGTTTTCTTTAGCAGAAACTCCTGTCGCAGTACCTCGGTGAGTGCGCTGACGGCATGCTTAGAAGGTGCATACATTTTTAAGCCAACGCCAGGGAACACTGGAACTTTATGGCCCACAACGCTGTTGATGATCACAATATGGCCATCGTTGACGTTGCGGCGCTGCTGCGAAAGGAAAGCCTCGCGTGTGCACCACGAAACTCCAAGCACATTGGTGTCCAAGACAGCTCGAAGATCGGCAGCGTTGTCTGGATCGGTAATGTGTAATTTACCAAGGATGCCGGCATTGTTTACCAAGACATCAGCTCCTCCCAGGGTCTGGTCGACCCAAGCGAATGTGTCAACAACCTGCTGCTCAACGCTGACGTCACACTTTCGGCCATGGAACCTTGATTGCTGATCTTTTGGTAGCGATGCCTTTAGCTCCTGAAGACGTTCCTCGCGACGGGCCAGGCCAACTACGACCATACCCTTGGCTACCAAATCCTTGCAGCAGGCAGCTCCAATCCCGGAGCTTGCTCCGGTGACGACGGCAACACGATTCAACCAACGATCCATTGTGAAATTGTATGTTTGTTCTTGAGAATTCGTGATACGATTGAGCTCGTACCCGAGGAGAGAATCCAATTTATAGAGCTTTGTCCGAAATGCCTTCGGCTGAGATAAGCTCTGGCCAAATAGTTAACTAATTGTCAGAGAGAATATCATTATCACGATGAAATGAGCGTAAGCTCGTAGAGATATATCTACGTGCGTGTTTATGTACATATCTGTGCACGAATCAGCGTATCACGATGAAATGGATGTAGTTTGTCCATGTGAATNTATTTAGAGCAAAATCACACATATTGATAGTTCTAAGTATAGAAAATTTATATTTTATTTCACCAGCGAACATCATTTATTTTGCTTGCTGAACTTTCGCTTGTGCAAATTCTGGAACCTCTTTAAAACGTTTCGCCAACTGGCTTGATTGTTAGCTCATGGATCTGCACATTAGGCGGAGTCTGAATGCAATAGGTCACCGCATCCGCAACATCTTCAGCACGCAGCATAGGGAAGTTTGGCATTGCCTCCTTGATTTTATCATCAATGATCTCTGTGTCGACAACACCAGGGCTAATGCTTTAAGGGTCGTAAGATATTTTCATAATTAATTATTGCCCAAATTGGAAATATTTATAATTCTCACAGCTATTTTCGTCTGCGTTTTCTTTTCCTATATCACTGTTGATAATCACCACATGGCCATCGTTGACCTTGCGGAGCTGCTGCAAAAGGAAATCCTCTCGAGAAATTCTATGTTTATTCTAGACAGTTCGCGATATTCAAATTTATAGAATTTTCTCGATATGCCTTCGTCTAAAAAAAGCTCTACTCAATTTGTTAATTACTGTTGAGAGAGAATATCATTATCACGTTGTTGTGAGCATATATAGGTACATACTCGTATGTGTGTGTGTTCCCAAAATATATCTGAAAGAATATACCCAAGAACACTCCGAGTACCTCTTAAAATGCCGATAAACAGACAACAATAAACTGGAATTCCCTATGTAAGCTTCGGGGCTAACTTTGTATATATTCACCCAAAAAGTAGTTTGCGAACTTGTACAACCAATACCAATATGATAAATAATAATGGATTAAATATGTTTTAATTTACCAAAAAAATGCACCCAAGTGTCACCCATAATAGTAGTCTCTAGCTTCGAGTATCCATCAAAACTTTTCGCCAACTGGCTTGATTGTTAGCTCATGGATCTGCACATTAGGCGGAGTCTGAATGCAATAGGTCACCGCATCTGCGATATCCTGAGCCCGCAGCATTCCCATTGCATTCTTGCCTGCATCAACGATCTCAGTGTCGACTGCACCTGGGCTAACGCTCTAAGGGTCGAATGAAAGCTTGTTAATTATTTGCCAATATATTATTATTAATCGTCAAACTTACAGTTATCTTCGTCTCTGTTTTCTTTAGCAGAAACTCCTGTCGCAGTACCTCGGTGAGTGCGCTGACGGCATGCTTAGAAGGTGCATACATTTTTAAGCCAACGCCAGGGAACACTGGAACTTTATGGCCCACAACGCTGTTGATGATCACAATATGGCCATCGTTGACGTTGCGGCGCTGCTGCGAAATGAAAGCTTCGCGTGTGCACCACGAAACTCCAAGCACATTGGTGTCCAAGACAGCTCGAAGATCGGCAGCGTTGTCTGGATCGGTAATGTGTAATTTACCAAGGATGCCGGCATTGTTTACCAAGACATCAGCTCCTCCCAGGGTCTGGTCGACCCAAGCGAATGTGTCAACAACCTGCTGCTCAACGCTGACGTCGCACTTTCGGCCATGGAACCTTGATTGCTGATCTTTTGGTAGCGATGCCTTTAGCTCCTGAAGACGTTCCTCGCGACGGGCCAGGCCAACTACGACCATACCCTTGGCTACCAAATCCTTGCAGCAGGCAGCTCCAATCCCGGAGCTTGCTCCGGTGACGACGGCAACACGATTCAACCAACGATCCATTGTGAAATTGTNCGCTGTTGATGATCACAATATGGCCATCGTTGACGTTGCGGCGCTGCTGCGAAAGGAAAGCCTCGCGTGTGCACCACGAAACTCCAAGCACATTGGTGTCCAAGACAGCTCGAAGATCGGCAGCGTTGTCTGGATCGGTAATGTGTAATTTACCAAGGATGCCGGCATTGTTTACCAAGACATCAGCTCCTCCCAGGGTCTGGTCGACCCAAGCGAATGTGTCAACAACCTGCTGCTCAACGCTGACGTCGCACTTTCGGCCATGGAACCTTGATTGCTGATCTTTTGGTAGCGATGCCTTTAGCTCCTGAAGACGTTCCTCGCGACGGGCCAGGCCAACTACGACCATACCCTTGGCTACCAAATCCTTGCAGCAGGCAGCTCCAATCCCGGAGCTTGCTCCGGTGACGACGGCAACACGATTCAACCAACGATCCATTGTGAAATTGTATGTTTGTTCTTGAGAATTCGTGATACGATTGAGCTCGTACCCGAGGAGAGAATCCAATTTATAGAGCTTTGTCCGATACATAAAGCAACCATAAAGGAGGGCCCGTCCGCTTTTTAGAGGGAAACATAACATTGCTGTCAATAAGTGTGAGTGAAAGGGCGTGCAGAGAGACAGAGAGCAACTTTACAATAATAAGAGTACAAGCTGCTCATACTTGCGTCCCACCACGGTCGGGGGGAAATGACCCGAGGAAAGCTGCCGACGACGGGCCCTCCTTAATAGTTGCTGCATGGTCCGACATGCTTTCGGCTGAGAAAAGCTCTGGCCAAATGGTTAACTAATTGTCAGAGAGAACATCATTATCACGATGAAATGAGCGTAAGCTCGTAGAGATTTATCTACGTGCGTGTTTATGTACATATGTGTGCACGGATGTAGTTTGTCCATGTGAATAGACGGAAGTTGGAAGCACTTTAAAAAGAAAACACTTGTTACTCGACTAAAAATACCGTATATTCAGAGCTTTAAAGATATGTGTTGACTCTCTTATTGTATTATTATTATTATATATGTACTGATCTTAATTGTAGTCGTAAATGCTACACGTCAAACCAATATACCCTTAGACTCCGAGACTTCGAGTACCAGGTAAAAGGCTGATAGAGAGATAACAAATCACTGAGCTACCCTATGTAAGCTACGGTCTTAATTAATTATCTATGTATGTCTGTACATTCAATGTACAATTTGTTTTACAAATTCTATGCAATTAATTAAGCAGCCATTTGTTGAACTGTTGTGTGGAAAGTAGCAGCAGCGAGTTAGCAGCGGACTTTTGCTAACAGCCGGAGCTCCAGCGCTCTCTTTCTTGTTTGGCGCTCGCGAGCTGGCGGGCAGCCATCGTTGACTTTGCGGCGCTGCAAGACAGCGCGCAGATCGGCAGCGTTTTCTGGATCTGTGATTTGTAATTTACCAGCGATGCCGGCATTGTTGACCAAAACATCAGCACCACCGAAGTTGTATCAATCCAAGCGAATGCCTCAATGACCTGCTGCTCAACGCTGACGTCACACTTTCGGCCTTCGTATAAAAAAAGCTCTTGTCAATTTTTTAATTTCGGTTCAGAGAGAATATCATAATCGGGTTGATATGAGCACACGTGTGTACTCGTATGTGTGTGTGTGTGTGTGTGAGGAAATCAGCGTATCATCGTGATGGTCTTACATACGATAAATAATATACATTTGTGAGTATTTGTGAGTCAGATAGCTTTAGTCGACTATAAGATACCGATTAGAAGATTTAGATCAGCGGTTATTCGGATATAATTATTTAATTATACCCGGTACTCAAAGAGTAAATAGGGTATATTGTATTTGTGCGAATAACGGTTGTATGTAACGCACAGAAGGAAGCGTTTCCGTCCCCATAAAGTACATATATTCTTGATCAGCATCAATAGCCGAGTCGATAGAGCCATGTCTGTCTGTCCGTCTGTCCGTCTTGTTTGTCGGCTCGTTCTCAGAGACTATAAGAGCTAGAGCCACCAAATTTTGCATCCAGACTGCTATATGCTCACACTGAAACCAGTGTATTTCAAAAATGATCCACGCCCCTTCCGCCCCCGCAAAAGGGTCGAAAACCTTCCAAATCTACAGTTTAAAGATAAAAGAAAACTAAAAACGCCATTCCGTAGGAAATGGCCATATCTATCAGATCACCAAATTGGGATCCGATCGGATCATTATTATAGCCACAATGGAGAAATTAATTTCCAGTGAGTAAACCCACCCTGTCCCGCAGCTTTTGTTGCTCGTTTTACATTCTCTCATAAACACTCTGCTGCTGCTTCACTCGGTCCCTGCCTCTGCTCTCCCCCTGGCGATGACTCTACCGACTTTTAACCCACCCCTCCCCAACGCTTATATTTGTTTTTTTTTTTGTGTGAGGGCGCTGCCTCTGCGTCTGCCGCAAGTCAGCAGTATGTTGGTCTAGGGAAGGGCGCCGAGCGTGTTATTGTAAGAAGTGTTGTAGATGTAGATGACAGATGAAGAAAAAATTTAAAATTTGACAAAACACAGCTGAGGTGCAGATGCACTATTGTCCCAATGACCAGTTTTGGTGGCTGTTTACGCCAAATTAGCGCAAAGGGCTTATGGCCGGGAGCAATAAATATTTTGTTTAAGTAAAATGAATTTGTAGCATTAAGCTATTGAATTGTTGCATTTAAGACATACTGACAGAAGTTTGTTGCTATAGAACATACATATAATACGCTCTGTATTAGAAAAAGAGTGACCATCAAAGTTGCGTACCAGAAAATTTCATAGATGGCGCCACTTTCGAAAAATCTGCTGTGAAACCTAGCGGTCATTATGGCACAGAATGTGCAGGGAAAAAGCTGTTTTAAATATCGAATAAATTGGAAAATACTATTAACTGATCCAATTTTTTTGATGCATTTTATTTAGTAGGCTTTTTACTACGTGTTCTGTAATGTGACGATATCTAGTGGTTGGCGATGTCTACATCTAGATGTAGTCCTGAGTGCCGGGTATAAAAGTTGTGACGCGTAAGAAACGTCTCACACGTCCCTTCTCGCTTTATTAATATATTGCCTACTGAGGTCCCTAGACTCATAAGTTAAAGCCCAGGAAAGTCAAACAAGTATTTTGTCATGTCCATGACTACTCTCTTTCCTGATTGAGTTAAAGTTTTTGTTTTGAGTCATAAACTCCCAAAATATAATTATCTGTAATAATAATCCCAAGAACTCTCCGAGTACCTCTTAAAATGCCGATAAAGAGACAACAATAAACTGTAATTCCCTATGTAAGCTTCGGGGCTAACTTTGTATATTTTCACCCAAAAAGTAGAAGTTTGTAAATATGAACAAAAAATAATGGAATATATATGTTTTTATTTACCAAACAAATTCCTTTCAAAACCAATCAATACTCCGTCCCCTGTGTCACCCACAATAATAGTCGACAGCAGCTTCGAGTATCCATCAAAACATTTCGCCAACTGGCTTGATTGTTAGCTCATGGATCTGCACATTAGGCGGAGTCTGAATGCAATAGGTCACCGCATCTGCGATATCCTCAGCCCGCAGCATGGGCATTGCATTCTTGCCATCAAAGTTCTCAGTGTCGGTTGCACCTGGGCTAATGCTCTAAGGGTCGTAAGATATTTGCATGATTAATTATTGCCCAAATTGCAAATATTTATCATACTCACAGTTATCTTCGTCTGCGTTTTCTTTAGCAGAAACTCCTGTCGCAGTATCTCGGTGAGTGCGGTGACGGCATGCTTAGAAGGAGGATACATTTTTAAGCCAACGCCAGGCGTCACTGGAATTTTATGGCCCACAACGCTGTTGATGATCACAATATGGCCATCGTTGACGTTGCGGCGCTGCTGCGAAAGGAAAGCCTCGCGTGTGCACCACGAAACTCCAAGCACATTGGTGTCCAAGACAGCTCGAAGATCGGCAGCGTTGTCTGGATCGGTAATGTGTAATTTACCAAGGATGCCGGCATTGTTTACCAAGACATCAGCTCCTCCCAGAGTCTGGTCGACCCAAGCGAATGTGTCAACAACCTGCTGCTCAACGCTGACGTCGCACTTTCGGGCATGGAACCTCGATTGCTGATCTTTTGGTAGCGATGCCTTTAGCTCCTGAAGACGTTCCTCGCGACGAGCCAGGCCAACTACGACCATACCCTTGGCTACCAAATTCTTGCAGCAGGCAGCTCCAATCCCGGAGCTTGATCCACTCACTACGGCGACACGATTCAACCAACGATCCATTGTAAAATTGTATGTTTATTCTAGAGAATTCGCGATACGATTGAGCTCGCACCCGAGGAGAATCCAATTTATAGAGCTTTGTCCGATATGCCTTCGGCTGAGATAAGCTCTGGCCAAATAGTTAACTAATTGTCAGAGAGAATATCATTATCACGATGAAATGAGCGTAAGCTCGTAGAGATATATCTACGTGCGTGTTTATGTACATATCTGTGCACGAATCAGCGTATCACGATGAAATGGATGTAGTTTGTCCATGTGAATAGACGGAAGTTGGAAGCACTTTAACAAGAAAACACTTGGTTCTCGACTAAAATAACCGTATATTCAGAGCTTTAAAGATATGTGTTGACTGTCTTATTGTATTATTATTATATATATACTGATCCTAATTGTAGTCGTAAATGCTAGACGTCAAACCAATATACCCTTAGACTCCTCTTCGAGTACCAGGTAAAAGGCTGATAGAGAGATAGCAAATCACTGATTATTTCATGTGTGCGGTGACACATATGTACATACATGATGGCAATGCGTTTATCTATTCTCGACTTCATACGCGTTTTCATTTTTAGCGCTTGAGTCGTTTGGCATTTTTGTGTTGCTTTCGAGCTCACATATTCTTCCTTCAAACTTGAGAATTTTTGAAGCAGCTTGCCCAAAAAAAAATAAATTGATTTTGTGTATCCTCTCTATGCTCATATATTTCTTAAATACAATTAGGAAGACTACATATACCTAACAACAATTGACTTGGCGTTGCAAATATTTTATATTAGAGTATTCAGCGTACACTGTGTGAATAAACATAGACTTATCAGTGGAGACATGGCAGCTGTGCCGAAAAAGAATTTATTTTTTTTTTTCTTTTCAAGTTAGTTTTGTAGTCTCGTGTGTGTCTCTCTATGTTTAAACTTACGAATCAGACTTAAAAGGAACAACAAAACAACGCCAAACTTTCTCAGCCGAAGGCTCTCTCACAAAGAGCCGAAGGCACTCTGAGCCAATCCACTATACTCATTAGGCACCCAGTTTTTACCCCATTTGACCACTCTATGAGTTTTTTGCTTAGTGGTTGTACTTAGTGTATACCACCCCCTCCTAACCATGACGTATTGTAATTAACTACAACCAAAATTAACCAATTAACTACAACCGGCACTCAATACTACATCTGCACCTTAGCGGTGTTTTGTCAAATTTTAAATTTGTTCTTCATCTGTCATCTACATCTACAACTCTTCTCACACCAACACGCTCCTTTAGCTCGCCCCCCCTTCCTAGAGCCACACACTGAAGAGTACCGGAAGAGGCAGAGGAACGCGAGCGGCAGAGGCCGCACATGCAGAAGCAGAGTGTGAATGAGATAATGTGAAAAAAAAAAACAAATATAAGCTGCGGGACGGGGTGGGTTTAGCCTCGCAACTATAATGCAGACCATTACGCTTTGAAATCGCGTCACCCACGAGACCTGAGTACGTTATCGCAGAGCCAGCAAGGGATGCTCGGAACACACAAACACGTATTCCATTATTTCTATTATTTATATTAAATATATAAATAAAATATAAATAACAATTATTTTCTCAAAACAAATAGCAATGGGACCAGTGTGCCGAAAAAGTTCTTAAAGCAATGCTTAAAGCGTGATCGAAAACAGTCGAATGGAGAGAGGAGAGAAGAACAAGTGCAGCGACAGCTAAACGGAGAGCGCGCGCTACTGCACAGAAAGTATTGAGAGCGAGAGAGGGAGAATAGTTACTCGAGCTAGAGAGTGAGAGGCAGAAGCGCAACTACAAGAGAGAGCGGCTAATAGTGAGGGCGTACTTACAAAAAGAAAAAGCACACGCCTTTATTCAAAATAGAAAGGAAAATACGGAGCGCAAAACAAAAACACATCTGTGAGCCACTGCAAATTATTTTCTTCATTGTGGCTATACTAATGATCCAATCGGATCCCAATTTGGTGATCTGATAGATATGGTCATTCCCTACTCATATTTTATTTTAAAAATTGTTGATTTGGTATGTTTTCGCCCTTTTGCGGGGGCGGGGCTAATTTTTGGAAAACACAAGTTTCAGTGTGAGCATACAGCAGTCTGGAGCCAAAATTTGGTGGCTCTAGCTCTTATAGTCTCTGAGTACTAGCCGACAAACAAGACGGACAGACGAACAGACAGACATGGCTCTATTGACTCGTCTATTGATGCTGATCAAGAATAGATATACTTTATGGGGTCGGAAACATTTCCTTCTGTGCGTTACATACAACCGTTATTCACACAAATACAATATACCCAATTTACTCTTCGAGTACCGGGAATAAAAAATAGAAACGAATTGGTTCTCTATAAATCTCGTTTTAGTGTGTATAACTATCAAGATTCATATCTTTTAAATATAAAATAAAGTGGTCGCTTGTAGTAAATAAAACGAACGACTTGAAAGCGAACACGTTTAAGACCTTGGAGAAATTTTGCAAAGCGGTTGACCGAACTAACAATCGAGTACCTAGACGTGTAATCCGCCTCAGACTTACGTGTAGGTCACCGCATCTGCGATATCCTGAGCCCGCAGCATGGGCATTGCCTCCTTGATTTTATCACCAATGATCTCTGTGTCGACAACACCAGGGCTAATGCTCTAAGGGTCGTAAGATATTTTCATAATTAATTATTGCCCAAATTGGAAATATTTTTAATACTCACAGTTATCTTCGTCTGCGTTTTCTTTAGCTGAAACTCCTGTCGCAGTACTTCGGTGAGTGCGGTGATGGCATGCTTAGATGGGGCATACATCCTAAAACCAAATCCCGGCACCACTGGAACTATATGGCCCGCAATGCTGTTGATGATCACCACATGGCCATCGTTGACTTTGCGGCGCTGCTGCGAAAGGAAAGCCTCGCGTGTGCACCACGAAACTCCCAGAACATTGGTGTCCAAAACAGCGCGCAGATCGGCAGCGTTGTCTGGATCGGTGATTTGTAATTTACCAGCGATGCCGGCATTGTTGACCAAAACATCAGCACCACCCAAAGTTGTATCAATCCAAGCGAATGCCTCAATGACCTGCTGCTCAACGCTGACGTCACACTTTCGGCCATGGAACCGCGATTGCTGGTCTTTCGGCAGCGATGCCTTCAGCTCCTGAAGACGTTCTTCGCGACGTGCGAGGCCAACAACGACCATACCCTTGGCTACCAAATCCTTACAGCAGGCAGCTCCAATCCCGGAACTGGCTCCAGTGACGACGGCAACACGATTCAACCAGCGATCCATTGTTAAATTGTATGTTTATTCTAGACAGTTCGCGATAGACAGTTCCAATTTATAGAATTTTTTTCGATATGCCTTCGTATAAAAAAAGCTCTTGTCAATTTTTGAATTACTGTTCAGAGAGAATATCATTATCAGGTTGATATACGCATATGTAGGTACATATATACTCGTATGTGTGTGTGTGAGGGAATCAGCGTATCATCGTGATAGTCTTTCATACTGTTGAAAGTAGCAGCAGCGAGTTAGCAGCGGGCTGTTGTTAACAGCCGGAGCTCGCTCGCGCTCTCACTCCCTACGCTCTCGCGCTCTTCTTCTTTCCTGGCGCTCGCGAGCCATGTACGGGGGTCATTCCGGTACACATTACATTCGATTCTACATACATACATTCTACAAGTTCTTGCTTCCTCATACACATACAATACATACATAATTATACCAACAATTCTACACCCGCGCCGAGCTTGGGACCGGGAATAAACAACCTGTATATATTATACACCTCTACTGTGTCGCCTCCTTATTTCGGGACCGAGGATTTATCTGGATTTATCACTCCTACAAACACATACGATTAATAATAATAATATACCTTTGGGAGTATTTGTGAGTCAGATAGCTTTAGTCGCTATAAGATACCGATTAAAAGATTTAGATCAGCGGTTATTCGGATTTTATTTCATTTTATTTATATATTGCCTACTGAGATCCCTAGACTAAGCAATAACGAACAAGGGCGTATTTGTTCCATGAAAAATTCGTATGTCGACAGCAGAACGCCAAACCAAGAGCGACCTAGAGCGGGAAGCAGGCGACGTAGGCAGCTGCAGCTCTGCAAGCGAGAGTCGACTCATCACTTAAAGTCCACGAAAGTCAAAAAAGTATTTTGCCATGTCCATGACTACTCTCTTTTTGCAGATTAAATTAAAGTTTTTGTTTTTAATCATAAACTCTCAAAATATATCTGAAAGAATATACCCAAGAACACTCCGAGTACCTCTTAAAATGCCGATAAACAGACAACAATAAACTGGAATTCCCTATGTAAGCTTCGGGGTTTTGTATATCTTCACCCAAAAAGTAGAAGTTTGCGAACTTGTACAACAACTTGTACATGTAAATATGAAAAAAATAATGGATTAAATATGTTTTTATTTACCAAACAAATTCCTTTTAAAACCAATCAATACTCCGTCCCCTGTGTCACCCACAATAATAGTCGACAGCAGCTTCGAGTATCCATCAAAACATTTCGCCAACTGGCTTGATTGTTAGCTCATGGATCTGCACATTAGGCGGAGTCTGAATGCAATAGGTCACCGCATCTGCGATATCCTGAGCCCGCAGCATGGGCATTGCTTCCTTGATTTTGTCATCAATGATCTCTGTGTCGACAACACCTGGGCTAATGCTCTAAGGGTCGAATGGAAGCTTGTTAATTATTTGTCAATATATTATTATAAATCGTCAAACTCACAGTTATCTTCGTCTGCGTTTTCTTTAGCTGAAACTCCTGTCGCAGTATCTCGGTGAGTGCGGTGACGGCATACTTAGAAGGAGCATACATTTTTAAGCCAACGCCAGGCGTCACTGGAATTTTATGGCCCACAATGCTGTTGATGATCACAACATGGCCATCGTTGACGTTGCGGCGCTGCTGCGAAAGGAAAGCCTCGCGTGTGCACCACGAAACTCCAAGCACATTGGTGTCCAAGACAGCTCGAAGATCGGCAGCGTTGTCTGGATCGGTAATGTCTAATTTACCAAGGATGCCGGCATTGTTTACCAAGACATCAGCTCCTCCCAGAGTCTGGTCGACCCAAGCGAATGTGTCAACAACCTGCTGCTCAACGCTGACGTCACACTTTCGGGCATGGAACCTCGATTGCTGATCTTTTGGTAGCGATGCCTTTAGCTCCTGAAGACGTTCCTCGCGACGAGCCAGGCCAACTACGACCATACCCTTGGCTACCAAATCCTTGCAGCAGGCAGCTCCAATCCCGGAGCTTGATCCACTCACTACGGCGACACGATTCATCCAACGATTCATTGTGAAATTGTATGTTTATTCTTGAGTATGTTGTATGTTTATTCTTGAGAATTCGTGATACGATTGAGCTCGTACCCGAGGAGAGAATCCAATTTATAGAGCTTTGTCCGAAATGCCTTCGGCTGAGATAAGCTCTGGCCAAATGGTTAATTATTGCCAGAGAGAACATCGTTATCACGATGAAATGAGCGTAAGCTCGTAGAGATATATCTACGTGCGTGTTTATGTACATATCTGTGCACGAATCAGCGTATCACGATGAAATGTCCATGCGTCTATTCGCAAAAACATTCGACTGGGTCTTTGGAAGCGTCAACGTTAGAGTGCTGCCGTTTACTCAACCCTTCCTCCAACATAGCCTCTGACGACATTGCATGGCATTCCCAAAATGGGATCCGCCTTTATCCTGGTAAACAGGTGGAAGCCGTGGAAACGACTCGGAGCACCTTGTTTCCAATTCCCAAATAGCCACCGGCTATGTTGAAAGTGAAAACTAGGCGGCCCAAGTCGTATCCAAAACTGCACCTGTCAGGTAAGATAACGGAGGATCCCATTTTGAGCATGGCATTAATGGCCGTCAGAAGCTATGTTGGAGGAAGTGTTGAGAAAAAGGTAGCCCTCTAACGTTACCAAAGAACAAGTCGAATATTGTTCTGCGTTTTAATACAACTGATGTCGATGATATGGCTACGGGGGCCATAGCAGTGCTGGCGATTCATGCAGCTGTACGAGTGATAGATTTTCGAACGCAGACACAGACACTCCCGCTGCAGATCTGAAATAGGTTTATATGGGATTATATGTGGATGCTTTTGGTTTGATTTGGGTGTCATGTTTACTTACGCAACGCTGAAAGAATTGCAAATATAACTCCTTATCGCTGTCATCGGTCATGCTCAACCCCTCCTGCTTGCTCTGGTCTTGTCTTCGACTATAAAACATTCATAATTAGCATCTAAATCAACAATTTTATAAATGCCTTTTCCCGTTCACGAGAAATGGCCAAAGAAGAAAATGGAAGAGCGAGAAACTCTACAACACTATTTCGGTAAGGGAGAAAGGGAAAAATGAAAATACACACATACACTTCGGTGCTTGTAAATGATGAATCGGTTACGCTGCAACATGTGTTATGCATCCAGTTGAATCAGTTCAATCACAAGCACAAAGCAAACAACTCAGTTGTTAATAAACCGTTGTTGATAAACAGTTGTTGATAAACAACTCAGTTGTTTGCTTCGTGCTTATATGTACAATGTATTTACATACATACATATATACATATGTACGTGCAGCCGACGAAAGGTTTACAAGCACCGTTAATATACCCGGTCGGAATTAGTAGAACCGATACCAGGAATCATGTTTCTTTCACACTTCTTCACAAAATGCACATAGAACAGTAATATTTTTACATCGATGGAATTTTTGCCGTGCTCACGCTCTTGCACTTCTGTGCCGGATTGGAAAACATGATAGAATGAACGTGAAAAAGTATCGCAGATCTGCGACGGACAGCTTCAATTATTAGGGCTGTCACCAGCTGTCAAAGTGTGGGGTAACTCGCAGAAGTTTGCGCATAGAAGCAGGAAATGGCGCTTCGACAACTCTACTATTGCTACGGACAAGCAGAAAGCAAAGACAATAGAAGAGTTGGAAAAAGAGAACGATAGGCGAAGACGTTTGAAATGGATTATGAGAATATGTTTGCTGATTCTAGATTGCTCATTAACCCTTTAAGTCCCCACCACCCATATTAACGTCAACACTTTGTAGTAGATAATGTAGATATTTGTATAATCACACTGGGAAACAATATAACACGTCAAGAATATGATAATTATAAACTGATATCGATACAATGGTTTTTTTTATTGAATTCACGTATTTCTGGCCCTGACTGCCTATTAAAAAAGTTCGCCAACTGGCTTGATCGTTAGCTCATGGATCTGCACGTTAGCTGGGGTCTGGATGCAGTAGGTAACCGCATCGGCCACATCCTCTGAACGTAGCATTGGGTAACCCACCATTGCCTCTTTGAAGCTATCATTTATGATCTCAGTGTCGACCACACCGGGGCTAATGCTCTAGATGACGCATATGAAAAACAGAAGAACATTATTGATTGGCCAAATGATTTTCTCTCTCCGAACTCACTGTAATCTTGGTGGCGGTCTTTTTTCGACGAAACTCCTGTCGCAGCACCTCGGTCAGGCCGGTGATGGCATGCTTAGAGGGTCCATACATGTTCCAATTTAGGCCTTCATTCACTGGCAAACTATGACCCACAATGCTGTTGATGATCACCACATGGCCATCGTTGACCTTGCGGCGCTGCAGCGAGCGAAAAGCTTCGCGGGTGCACCACGAAACTCCTAGCACATTGGTTTCCAAGACAGCACGAATGTCCGCTGAATTGCCCTCATCTGTGAGTTGATAACTACCAAGGATGCCGGCATTGTTGATCAAAACGTCAGCACCTCCCAGAGTCTGGTCGACCCAAGCCAATGTATCAACCACCTGCTGCTCGACGCTGACGTCACACTTTCGGATATAGAATCGCGATTGCTGACCTTTTGGTAGCGATGCCTTTAGCTCCTGAAGACGTTCCTCGCGACGGGCCAGGCCAACAACGACCATACCCTTGGCTACCAAATCCTTGCAGCAGGCAGCTCCAATCCCGGAGCTTGCTCCGGTGACGACAGCAACACGATTCAACCAGCGATCCATTATCAGACTAGTTTTCCTAAACCCGTATTTTCATCGGAGTATTCCCGATGCGACTGAGCTCTCGATTAGAACCGCTCTGTTATATATAGGCCAAGTGCGAGCACTTGCGGGAAAGCCTCAACCATATAGAAAATAATCTTAATTAAATTTTCGCTTGTACATACATACATACATACATACGAGTAGTCATGAGTATATATTAGTACTGAATACATATTTACGTATGCAAATACATACAGTTGTGTTCAATGAAATAGTAGTGCCGCGCCACACAATTTTCACCACTATTTTTGAGACCCTTCCAGTCTTTCGAATTGAACAAGTAATACCTTTTTGGAAAGCCTGAAATGTACGCATTTTCATTTCATCTTCTTTTTTTACATTAATTTATAAAAATACCCATGAAAACTGCTGTTCAATAAAATAGTAGTGCTATGTGCAAGTATAAACAAAATATTAAAAACCAAATTAAATCAATTCAAAAAAGTTACCATCAGTAAGCTTAATTTATATATTGAATATTTTGATGAAAGAAATGTTTGAATATAGCGGTACTTTTGTTTTTGGAGCGTAGAAGTAATCAAATCAGGATACACTGCATAAAAAACTTACAAAAGAAGCCCAAAAGAGGGTCCTATTTAAAGCCCTAATATCCTGCAACCAAGCACACTTGCTTTGATGTAAACAACTTTCACCAAAAACAAAATATTTTGATTCAAGTGTGAATTCGCAGTCGTTTTTATTATTTTGTTTCTAAAATCAGAAAAGTGCTCTGAATAGCTAAATGATTGATGCTCGCAATTTCAGCTGAACAAATACTTGATTATGCGATAATTGTATACAAACAGATTTATTGTTTTGTTAGTTTCCCATATACTACAGCTTTTTGTCAGGAATAAATCCCTTTCGCCATCACAATACTATACATACATATGTATGTAAGCATTATAGATTGATTTAATAATTGTACAAAGCTCCAGATAGATTAGATGTATGTGTACCATATACAGTTAAGAGTGTAGAAAGCCGCCAAGCACTATTCTAACACGACATTCTACATTCTAGCGGTTCTTAAAAGTGAATCATACTTTTTGGCTGAACCGTAAATTCGTTCAGCTTTCTATAGATGATGTATGATGTATGTATGTATGCATATAAGATGTAGACTTACTTTTCCTAAACGTGGGAAATCGAGTATGTAGTGCAGGGCTCGGCACGCGGGTACATAATGCTTTTTGTGCGTTTGTATGCACCGACAGCAAGCCAAAATCGTTTCTTGCTTCTCTGCCGCTGCGGCAACCGAGCAATTGCGAAGTTCTCGGCAGACAATATGCACATGTGCATAGCCGAAGCAGCACGAAGCTTTTACGCTGTGCGTGTGCCGACAGCGCTGCCGCAGAGCTTTTTCCATGCACAAACGACACAACAGCGGCACCGTTTCAGCGTAATCTTTCAATAAGTAACGGCTTTGTCGACCTTCGAAGCTTTCAAGCTCGAAATAGAATAAATATAAAAGAAACAGTTATTAACATATTATTCTCCGTATTACTAAGCTGTAAACTTTATTTAAACAGTAGCCAGGCAAAAAGGTTTAACAAAATCGAGTTAAAGCTTAAAAAACTATGCAATAAAATACTTGATTTTAGACCTAAGATATAGATATAGTACATACATATAGGATCTTCAAGGACTTAGACGACACATGGACACACACACAGATTAAAACATAACAGAGAGGCGCTGCTCTTAGTTGCTCTTGCTGTTGAGTCGATCCTGGATCTCCTGCAGGCTGAGGCCCTTCGTCTCCATGACCACAAAGAGGACAAAGAAGAATGCCACCACCATGAAGCCGGCAAACAGCCAGAAGGCGTAGTAGGAACCGAGAGCATCCAGAGCGGGATAGAAGTAGGTGACCAGAAAGCCAAGCGTCCAGCAGGTGCTGGCCACAATGGAAGAGGCGGACGACTTGATGTTCGCCGGGAACATCTCGCCGAGCACAGCCCAGGGCAGCGGCCCGAAGCCCGTGCAGTAGACAATGTTGTAGATGACGAGCGCCGGCACTGGCATCCACACCACACTGGAGATGTCGCCCACCACCAGCTGCATGTAGAAGAAGGCGCCGAGTGCCGTCAGGCCCACAGTCATCACACTGGCGGAGGTCAGCAGCATCACCTTCCTGCCCAGTCGGTCGGCCACGATGGGCGTCAGGCCGGAGGAGGCCACCTGGACGCAGCCTATGATAATGGTGGCAATGGCGGGATCCAGGCCCGTGTTGGCGCTGGCAAAGATCGACTGGCTGTTGAAGAGCACCACATTGATGCCGGACAACTGCTGGAAGGAGATCAAGCCGGCGCAGATGAACAGAGCCTTGCGATTGCCGGGATTCTTGAACAGATCCATAATGGTGCCCTTGCTGGCCATGGCCTCCTCCACACTGGACTGTATCTCGGCCATCTCATCGTGCACACCCTCGGCGCTCTGGCCGCGCAGGAACTGCAGCGAACGCAGTGCATCCGTCTTGCGTCCCTTGCCCGCAAAGTAGTGGGGACTCTCGGGCATAAAGTAGAAGACCACATCGAAGATGATCGGCACCACAATGCAGCACCACTGCAGAGCCATATACGAGACGAAGGGACCAATTGCATACACATACAGAATGCCAGCTAAAAAGGGGGAGAGCGAGGAGGAGTAAATGAAGTGCGACCCCAGGGGGAAGGTGATCATGCCCAGACTTACCCACAATAAACAGCTGCATCAGCGAGCCAGTGGCTCCGCGCACATTGTCCGTGGAAATCTCACCCACGTACATGGGCTGCACCGTCATCACAAAGCCCACGCCGAAGCCCTGAATCAGTCGGGACAGGTACAGGATCCACACCTCGGAGGCGCCCATGTTGATGCCGAATGCCAGCACGAAGAAGAGACTGCTGGAGAGCAGCACCCACTTGCGGCCAATGCGATCGGCCAGGGGTCCAGCCACAAACGGAGCCATCAGCGCTCCAATGGCAATCAGCGAGGAGATCCAGGCATCCTCATCGGATGTAATGGGTCGGTCCAGCGGCGAGTCGGACGTGTCTTCGGCCTTGAGTTTGGGAGCAACGGGTGAGGTCCAGCCCAGGCAGGTGCCCACCACAAATGCGGACAAGTTGGCTGCGTGGGAGAGAGTCAGGTTGGGCACTAGACCTGGGGGTACACTTGATGCCACTCACCTGCCACAGCAGCCATAAAAATGCGACCAGTCTTGACCGGTTCGGGCGACATATTTCGTGTGTTTCCCTCGCTTACTTGAAAAGAACTGACTTCCGTATAGGAGTACTGACCTACTGTGTCTTCAACGTGGCCTACCGACGGCATCTGGCTAGACTGGCGAGTGGAGGGGCAGCTGCAAAAATCGCAAAGAAATCTCATTACAAAATCAGTAATCACCCATTAGCAATTCAATCGCTTGAAAAATGTCCAAATGGCTTTTTTGCTTGACCCTTGGTCCATTCTGGCGGAATGACACGAGTCACGTCACCCGACAATTTCCAAACCATTCACTTTCACTTTGTTCTGTCTGGATTTTCATTTGTCACGTTATCAAAGCATTAGACCAGACGATAATATCATTGCACAAAAAACAACAAAACTCATTTAATTGCACTGCGAACAAAAAAGGCTAAGCCAAATTGGTGTTCCTCCAATTATCATTAGTTAATATATTTGCGTAATTATTTGAACAATCACTTGCTGACACTTTCCGTTGGCTAATGCTGCATTTGGGCATTATTCAGCAAATATTTCCCCACTTACTGATCCTGCGACATCAACTAAGCACGAAGATTCCGCGATAGTTGTATTGACTTGTAAACTGCAAACTGGAATGCTGCTCGGATCGCCGAAAGGCGCGAATTTAAAGATTTTCCGCCTGATATGACAGGCATTCGAAATCAATACTCAGTCAATAATGCTCATCGACAAGTGCTCCTACACGTGCATTATCTTATCAACGGGTAGGGTAGGCGCTACACCCCGTTCATCTAGTATTCATCAGCAGCGGCATCGAAATCTCTCTTCAAAGCTTATTATTGTTGTTTTGGCTGAAATTGCGCCATTTGTGTGTGCTTTTTGCACTTGAACTGGCCCACATAGCCACATATAATTCAGTGTCTGTGGTGCATCTGTGTGATAAGACTGACAAAAAGAAGGTGCCCCAATCTCAATTTGCTTGCTTACACGACCCCACTTCAATGCACTGGACACACCGGCTGATTGGGATGTGAGTGGGTATCCCATACCAAGAACCTGGCTCGAATCATCAAGTAGACCATCCATATCCACATTACATGCACAAACAAATCAAATGCCACCGACTGCGTAAATAGCTCTACTCCGATTAGTAATTCCTGAGTTATTTCCGCTAATTACAGTTCGGCAACAAGTCGAAAATATTGACACAAATTCAGTCAAGTGTGTGGGCTGGAGCACAGCACGTGAATAGAGTGTGACACCACCATATCTCTGCCTCTGAAGAGTATCTTGCATGTGACTGTGGAACACTTTTCCCTCAAGTTTGCTCCTTCAGCGAAAAAAATGGAAAAGTTTGACTTTTGAATTGCCAATTTTTCGGGGAGATAAATTATGTGAAACCCTCAAGTGGCTGGGAAAGAATTTTTTGTTGCTGAATTCGCTTTTAAGCTTTTATTATAATTTCAAAATGTTTTATGAACTTCTTCCTGTAAAGGTTATCGCTGGCTCTTAATTTTCCACTACTTGGCTGGAAGTCATTGAGAAATCATTCCATCACGGGTTTTTTTTTTGTTTTTAACAAGTTACCTCCAACTGATCAAACATTGTTCACCAATTAAACACAGACGATGGAAACATTAATAAAAGTGATTTCGATAAGTCAGAAGTGCTGAGGCGCCACGAAAATGAACTTATTCGTTATTTCTGTTGTCAGTGTAGTGAATTAGAGATTTGATTGAAGACCTTGACTAAAGAGAGCTCGGACGTACTGAGCAACAGCTGTTATTGATAAATAGTGTTCTTGAAGGTGATGTTTCTAACTTAATTCTAACAAATAAAATATAGAAAAAAGGATCAATTCACGTTTCACTTTTGCAACACATTTAGACAGCACTTTTAGACATTTTTAGCATGCATTTATTTTACTCACAAAGAAAGAAAAAATATAACAAAGATCTGCAAGGATATTTGCGTTCCGAACTCAACGGCAACAAATCGAAACTAAACGCAAAATGTATGATTTAGATTTAAGAAATCTGTTTAGTTATGGCTCCCCCAATCTGAGCACAACAATTATTTGATTATTTGTTGCTTGATATTTGGAATAATTCAAGGGTAAACACATTCTGCCCAATTTTTCGGCGCAGAGCAGCGCGGCAACAAATCACAGACACTCTTTAGTAGGTCGACGACTCACCCATTATGTTTGCCGAAATTATCAATTAGAACACAATTAATGGAACACGGGAAAGTGATGGGAGCTCGCAGTAATCACAGACGGCGGTTTGGTTTGTTTTTTTTTTTCGGTGGAAAATAACTCGATGTCTGGGATGAGTAAAGATCAGAGAGCTAACAGTTTTGTTTGGCTGCCGGAACTGAAATGATGTCGATGTGGGAATGTTTTGACGCTTTTGTTTGATTCGGCAAGCAAAATTAAGCGCGCGGAATTATGACAGACGCATTTAAATGCGCCAGACCGAGTAAATAATATGTACTCGAAGCAGAGAGAGTGAGGCGGAGAGTAGTACAGATATCAGCGACTATTATATCGAATTAAACAGCCACTCAGTCGGGCTGTGCACAGAACAGAACAGAACAGAACTGAGCTCGGAATTTGTGGCATTTTTATCAGCACTTTTGTCTGCCTTTTGGGACAATTGTCTGCCTCGCTTCAGTTCGCTCTCGTAGCAGCCTTACATGACTTGGCATTGAGTAAGCCCAAAGACTGCCCCCAAGTTCCGGTTATTCTGTGGAAAACTTTTGCAGCTTTAAGGAAGTTGATTAGCATGCAACAGGGGTCGCCTGTTCCCATGGGGTATTGACTTATTTCGATGGCTACTCGATACAGTTAAAATGTACAAACAGCATGGATAGGTACATACATATGTACATATGTTTCTATTGCTAAAAATAAAGTCGCTAGGCCGGTCATGTCTCTGTGTCTCTGTGGCCGGTCGGCACATTAAATGTTTTGAGAATGCGTCTGGCTTTTGGAGGGGTTTCCCCTACCCTTCCGAAACAAGTCTCTTTGTAGCCAATCTGATACACATACTAATTATTTTAAAAAGCTGTGAGTGTCACTGGTTTAATCATAACAAAACAAGCGACTTGCGCGAATGTTTAGTGTCGCTTTTAATGGCCCATTGATTGTGGCAAATATTCCATTGATGGAAACAAATAACCAGGCCATTGGCAGGTACTATTTACGCTTTTTAAAGCAGCTTAAAGTGGGATCGCTTTAAGGCATTTGACTCAATTCAAATACCCTTAGAGAATTTACATTTTTCCACGAATAAAACCTTTTTCGAGGATCATCCGCACTTAAACATTTATTTACCAAGCACTTTTATGTAATAATTTCCAGTAGCAGTTTTTTTTACAACGATCCCATGGCTCGGGGATTGCCCTCCCGCTGTCTTTGCTGTTTGCCTTCTACGAGTAATGCTTACACAAATTTAGCTAGATATTTGTCAACAGGTGTCAACAGGTCCAAGCAAATACGGACTTTGTTGAGCTTCCTGTAATTGGCATCAAATATTTGCGATCGCAGCAGCAGAAGGTGGAAGTGCTGGCACGATTTCAATTTGCATTTTGTGCGTCGCTTTCGATGTCGATCAATCAATCAATCGCCGATGTTGACCTTCACATTGACCATGCCTCCGCAGGGGCAGAGAGAGAGAGAGTAGAAAGCGAGACAAAAGCTGGCGCCTGTCTCCAATGCCACGTGAGGGGCTTGCAATCGGCAATCGTGGCTTGTGGCGCTGGGGGCGTACCCAGAGGCCCCCGAGAGGTTGTCTGTTATCAGTGGATGCTACACTGGGGATGTGCTGTACAGTTTCGTTTTATTATCAACTAAATGTGAGTTTATATATGTACACAAGAGTAATATAAGAGCTACCAACAAGAAGTCAAGGAAGAGGCTTCTCCACACTTATCTGCTGAGGGGCTTACATAGACATTCTCTGCCATAGATAGCTAGTACTTAGCAGCTAATTGAACTGTGTTTACTTAACATTAACATTGTGCAATATTGATCAATATTATCTATTGGATCTAAGTGTTTATAATCTTGCAAAAAAAACCTAAGCTAAGTGCCAAACTATTCAGAACTTATCGCAGTTTTGCAAGAGTATAAAAACATCGGTTTTGATTTCAAATCTAACTACGAGTACGAGTACGCTGGCAACTGGCAACTGGCTACAGTAAACTAAACTAAACTAGCGACCATTTAGCCAGGACTGGATTTGGCTGGCACTCTTGCCCTTTGTCTCCTGCAGCATTGTGGCCACATAGATGGTGGCAGCCGCCATGCAGGCGGCAAAGAACCAGAAAGTGACGTCCGATCCCAGAGACTCGATCATGGAGCCAAAGCTTTTGGTCACAATGAACACACACAGCCAGTTGGCCATCACCGTGATGGAGACGGCAGTGGCCTTGACATCGGGCAGAAAGAGTTCGCCCATCATCAGCCACGGAATGGGGCCGTAGCCCACGGAGAAGGTGATCATGAAGAGCACCACGCAGAGCAGCGGCAGCCAGCCAATCGAGGAGACATCCTTGTGGCTGTCCTTCATGTCGAAGTAGGCGCCCAGGATGGCCAGGCAGATGGACATGACGGTGCTGCTGAACAACAACAGAATCTTCCGGCCAGCCCGCTCGATCAGCAGCGAGGCAGTCAGCGTCATGATCACCTGCACCAGGCCCACAATGATGGAGCAGACAGAGGCATCGAGGGTGCTGCCGGCGGACTGGAAGATGGGCACCGTGTAGAAGATGACCGCATTGATGCCCGAGAACTGCTGGAAGAACATCAGCAGTATGGAGATGACCAGACCATTGCGTGCGCCACGATTGCTGAAGAGATCCATGATGCCGGCATCGGCTGCCGCCTGGTCCAGATCATTCTGAATCATTTGAATGGCGCTGCGCGAGTCGCAGTAGCGACCCCAGAGCCACTTCAATGAGAGTGCTGCCTCAGCACGTTGACCCTGCAAGAGAAAATAGCATTCAAGATGTGTGCCAGGGACTACAATGGATCCTAACTCACCTTCTTGAGCAGATAGACGGGCGTCTCGGGCAGCACGAAGAGTCCCAGCATCAGGCCGATGGGCACAAACAAGCAGAGCGTACTCAGAGTGGTCCAGGATACCATGGAACCCACCAGATACACAAACAATATGCCCACGGTGAGCAGCAGCTGGAACAGAGTGCCCAGAGTGCCACGAATGCTCGTCTCGGCAATCTCCGATATGTACATGGGTGCCACAACGCAAAAGCTGCCCGTGGATATGCCTAAATGGGGCAAACTTCTAAGTATACATTGCTGATAGATGGATCAGAAAGACCACTCACCGATCAGAAAGCGTCCCACATACAGCCAGCCAGCTGAATTGGCAAAGATAATCGAGAGCCAGGCTAGAATAAATGGAACATTCATGACCATTGCCGTGTAGCGTCGACCAATGGCATCGGCAATGTAACCCGTGGGCATGGCACCCAGAAAGGCGCCAATAGCCAGCAGGGAACTGACCCAGGTCTCTGCAAAAAATATAGAAAATATATTTATGAATGTTATGGCAATAACCAGAGAGCTCTTATTACTAATCGCAGCTCTTATAATGCACTATCAATCGATAGTCGAGTAAGTATCCACTCAAGGACAATCGCGAGGATTTAGATTGCCTTTGGTTGTTCTTTAATTTCAGTTACTTACGCTGTCCGGCTGTCAGTTGCAGTCGGTCCTCGCTGGGCAGTGGCAAAGGTACAGGGCTGGTTCCATTGGCAATTGTTGAGTTGCCCATCGTTGAGTTCCCGGCTGTGGCATTGGTTGGGGGCTGCACACTGATCTGAGCGAGAACTGGACTGGTCCACGCCAAGGCTGTGCCAGCAGCCACGGCACCCAAACACACTGTAAATTGTACATTATAGATCGGTGCATTGATTTATCTGGAGTCTGATGTCTGCCACTCACTTATTAGAGCTGCCGCATATTGACGGGTCTTTGAAGTCTTAACCACACCATCCTGCAGTGGGTCGTATAGCATTGGGTTGCGCGCTGAAGGATCTGCATCCTCCTGGCTGACAGTCTGTAAAACAAGTTGGATTTTTCTTTAGTTAGCTAGTTAAAAAAAGAAAATGATGGCTCTCTTTATGAGTTTATCATTTCATTTTCGTCATTGAAACACATTTGAAAAGAGTCTTTTGTGTTGTTTTTGCCATAAAAGTTTTGTCCTTTACCTGCCACCAGCGCGCCATGGCGCGTACGACTTTATCCGAATCCATTTCGAGACTTTCCCGATTTCCGGGTTGTTATTTCTGACAATGCCTCTGACTTATGTAAGTCAAACAACACACACACAGAACGCACTTTTTGCCTTAAAAAACACTAGCTTATGGTTTGTTTTGCGCTTATTTATATCTCTTGTCATTTATTATCTAAGCATAGATATATGTACATATATTTTTATATTTGAATATATATTTCGTTTGTTTTTGTTTTCGTCCGTCCACTAATCTTATTTTAGTTTTGAGCCTCGTGGACAACGGTTTGTCTCGTGCGGGCACCTCGAGTCGACTGAATTGTTGGACTCTTCGAAAAAACGTATTTTGATCTCAATTCTTTGCGAAAATTCTTTTATTTAGCATAGAACTTTTATTTCCTCTGGCGCTTTGTTGCCATTTCATTGTTTTGCCAACGGATTACGCGCACTCGATGCACACGAATCTTATGTTTTACGTCAGAAACAGATGAAAGATACATTCTATAGAAAATGGGGTAGAGGTGGGCTGGTCAGGCGTAATAGAAGGGCAACCTGTTGACGTGTGAAACTAACCGATTTTTAATGGAAATGTCTGCCATTCTTGATCTATGATCAGCCTTTGCAATGACGTTTAAAGTTATGCCACAGCTCAGTGTGAACCCGAACCCAAAGTCCAAGCAAACAATAAGACTTCCTGCCATGTTTTGTGCCAGTTAAAATTAAATTGCTAAATGCATTTCGATGCGTGGCCAAATGCCAGGAAAGCGAGAGACTCGCAACTATCAGCGACGCCCGGACTATAAATAGAAACTTGTTTTTGTTTTTTTTGTTTTTGTTGCTGATTAGACGACAGCAACAATGCTTGGAATGGCGTTCCTTATGGTGTATGATGAATCCTTGGTGGGAATGCAAGCGAGCGTTTAATAAGTAATTTAAGCGGAATGTTTAATTAGAAAATAAAAACACGTAAATCTTAATGGCGTCAAGTGCATGCCAAAAGAAACCTGTCGCCAGCATCACAGCCAAACAACAAGTCACACAGCCACACGAATAAGGTAAAAGTGCGACAGAGCGGGATAGTTGGAGGAAGTGAGAGAGAGAGAGTTCGAGAGCGAGCGCGCGAGCTAGTGCGAGATCTAGCTAGAAAGAGGCAGGTATAAAACAGACACACCCACCGCGCTGATAGAGGCGCGCTCGGCTCATCCACATCACATGCTAATTAGTCGGCGTCATTTGTTTTGCTCTGCTCTTACATTGCTGCGCTCTATGCCATTACAAAGGGTATGACGATGCGGAGCAGGCATATGCGACACAAGGAAGAACAAGAGTAGAAGTATGAGTGGATATGTACATACATACGTAGGGAAGGAAGCCAAACCTTACGAATAGCAAACCATAATAGCAGTTTCAAATATATTAAATGCTTAACATAACATATCAACAGCATAACATAACATTTCCATAACCATCAAAAATGTTAGAGTACCTAAAGCTTCGACTACCGTTGTGAGCTTTCTCGGCCTTTCCTATTGCTTATTGCTTATTGCTTATGCCATTTGCGTTTGCCCGATGTCAAGTTCAACTATCGCCTTGTGCCTTGTGCCTTGTGCCTTGCGCTGCACTCGCTTGTTGTTGTTTTAAGAGGCTTGTTCCTATAAATTTGAGCAGGTAAAGACACACACACACACATACACCCACACATTTATGGGCACGCTCGTTTAATATTCAATGTTTTCTCCTTCTACACGCCCACATTTTGCTTGTCTTTATTGTTCCCCATTGCAGCGCAGTCAGCGATAGATAATTTCTTTTATGGACGCAATCCCCTAATTCACTCAAGTCCATTGCCCACTGGCCATGCGGTAATTAAAATGATATTGTGGTGTGGATAGAAGTGGATGGATACAGCTAGGTGTGCTTGGCAGTGCATCCACGCGAATGTATGTACATACTTAAATATACTTACGCTGACGGTGTTTTCTGAGCTGCCTAAATGTATACTTTGAAAGTTCACTTTCAGCACTAAATTCGGAACTTGAAACCGATTTTGGGAATTGCTTGAGGTGAGTAACAATTCAAAATCACACTGTTCTGTTCATACTTTCATTATTTAGCATATTATTTATAGCTTTAATCAATCAACAAGATGCATTGTAATCTGCTTACAAACAATACAAAGTCTTTCTCTGCGCTCGTAAACAAAAGATGTGATTAATTTTCTCCTACAAGAAAGACTTTTGTACTCTCTGATACAAGCTCCCAACAATATAAACACATTTACTAACTTAAGTTGCACTGAAATCACTTCAAAGACTTTCGGCAAAACATATTCTCCCATTTCTGTGTATTTTTACAGCTTTATATTTATCATCGGGATGGCGGATGCGGCGGCCTTGGAATGCCAAAAAATATTGATATGTAAATATTATTATTATTATTTGTGCAGTGCAGATTGCCCCGACAGTTGGGTACAAGCTAAGATAAGCCTCGTGTAAATATACAAAAGCTGATGGGCACGCGACTGAAACTATATTTTATATTGCTGCTCTCGTTATTGTTTTACTGTCACGACGTGATAATACATGTATGAGAGATATGCGACAGTAGCCGAAATAAGGCCATATTTCCAGCCCCCTTATCTGAGGGGTGGGCCGGCAAGTGAATCATTTCGTCATTGAGTCGTCGTGTGGTCTAAGCAATCGCCAATCGTTTGACTAAAATCTCATTTTGAAGAGTCAAGCGTCACGCTCAAAGGTATATACTTAATTGGCCATTATCGAAAACAGTTAGTGACTGCGTGAACGACGCGGCGATCACCCGCCAGGCTGCTGTTAGCCCCAAAATCTTGATAAGATTCTTTTGGCCCCGTGCTCATTGCCTAATTCCCAGTCAAGTTATTTGGTAGTTTTCTAAGAGGTGTTAGACGGAGTGCCGGTTGAGTGTCGAGTGGGAAATAATCTGTCCGCAGAAATTCACAGTGGGATCCATTCGATTGCTTACTTCCTAAGCATAGCTCTTGATGCTGTGCTAAAGCTAATCGTTGCTTTATGGCCTGGCAACCTTCTTAGCCCAGTCAAAACGTTTTAAATCATTAACAGAGCAGCTCAAGTGGCAGTTGCTTGTGTAAATCTTGCAGTTTTTGTGCTTTTCTGAGCAGCCAAAAAAACATTGATTAGATATTTTGCATTTAGTGGCTCATAAATTAGTTGGTAGATTGAAAGATAGGTCTAAGCAAGTCCACATAGTTACGAATACAATCCAAAAAGTACACCAAAACATAGCATAAAATAAAATTTTGTAATTGATGTTATGACAAAAAATAATCGCTGCAGCAAATACACAGCTGCCTAGATAAAGAGTTTAACCTATTTATTCATTCGAAACGAAATTTATTCTTCTAGAAAGTGCCGCTTATCTTTCACGCATAATTTCAATTATTAGTTTGAAATTTCGTACCTTCGTACATTGCCACACCATTCCCCATGCTCACCTTTTTAACATCCTCGCTGGCAACCATAATGTTCCAGTTTGAATCAAAACACAAAACACGATCAAATCAAACCGTATTTACGGCTATTCTAATTTCGGTATTTATATATATTATTCGGTAGTGCTCGGTAGAACTATTTTGATCGGCTCCAGTTCGAGGCAGGGAAAGTGCTACTGTAACTACTGAAACGTGCGAATGCACGAGCAAAACTGAAATTTCTCAAAGGAAGCGCGCTTAACATCGAAACGAAATCGATGGCCACAGCAACGACGCCAGCAGCAGCGGCGACTGAGACGGCAGCAGAGACGTTAGCAGTGGGCAGTGGGCAGCGGGCAGCGGGCAGCAGCAGCGTTGTATACAGAGCGGCAGCTGTATACGGTATAAGGCATACAGTATAAGATATAATTTCCATGTTGCCTTACTGGCGTTGAATGGATTGTAGCTGTCGATTCTATGACGTTGCTGCTGATTGGGGAACTAATCGCAATTCAATTTTGGACGAGGAAATGGCCCCAATGAGTGTCAGTGTCAGTGTCAGTGTCAGACTTCGTATGGTGGCGCGCCGTTGGTGGTCCGTTGCAAGCTAAAGTTGCTCTTGCTCACACCACGATTGTAGCCTGATTTGTTTTTATCCACTTCGATCTCCTGATAGGATCTGAATTTCTCAACTAAACGCTGCAGGCCGCGCTCCAACGTTGGCGAGCTGACCTTGTCGAGTTCCTTCAGCACATAGTTCGTGAGGGCTTGGGCCAGTAGCTGCAGATGGGATAAGACAGATTTGAGATATCGATTTGGGAGTCCGTCACTCACCCCAATGTACTCCGCGCGCACTTGGCAGCGGCTGTGCGTTTGGTTGTTGTCATTCAACATCAACTGGAACATGATTGGATCCTGCTCATCGATCAGAGCGCCCATAAAGCGTATAAATGTCAGCGCATGGCCGTGCAAGTGCGTCAAGTTGATTTCCTTGCCCTTTCTGAATTTATAAATGCTCCAATACCACTCGTTGAGAAAGCTGCAACAGATATTAACCATACATCAGCGTAAGAGTTTGTACAAGTTTCACTTCTTACGCAAGGAATACATCCTGGCCAATGCGTCGCTCTCGAGATCTGATCAAGTTCCATGCCTGCCGCAGAGCCAAGCGCTCGCTGAGCGTAAAGCCGAGCTCATCCTTAACAGGACCCAGCTGCAGGGTCGGCAAGGGCTTTGGATAAATTAGCTGGGAAAAATGCACACTAATTGCAGATGGAGTTTTGCTAGTGTTTCCAGCTGTGGCCATCGATTAATTTTGATTATTACTTATGGAAAAAGTTAAGAGCTAAAAGCGAAATATAGAAAAAGTTTAAAGAACGAAATGGAAAACCTATTTACATTGTAATTTGTTTAGTAGATTTTTCATGGCATGCTACAAATTGAATGAAACTAAAGAAATATAATTTTGCAAACTATTCCAAAGACTTCTTAACTTCTTTGACTTCCTTGACTGAATGCACCCTGGATGCCCTTAAATTTTTCGGTGTGGGATTGCTATTGGTGCTGCGGTAGTAGACAGACAAGGCTTTCTTCCGTGCATCGTCAGCCTCAGCATATTCCCCGACAATTGTCACCAATTTCTCCAGCGCAGTGGTGAGGGTGCAGGAATTATGATTTTTTATCTCCGGACAGGCCAGCAAGTAATCCTTCAAGGCAACTGCCAGCAGCTGAAAAGGGATAAAAGTTGCTTAAAACTCTCGTAGTTCTCGGCGCTCCCATTTGCTGCCCACCTTCATGTAATCAATGTCAATGCCGCTTTTCAGATGAAAGGGCAAATTCTCATCCAGGCTTGAACGAAACTGCAGACTCTCATCCAGAGTGTGCACCAATTTCGAGAGCAGTTTCATCATTGCGGTGGCATGGCCGTGTAGCTTGCCCAAGTGGATTTTGTTATTGATGCGAAAGGAGTTGATCAGATTCTCATGTTCCGTAAGAAAGCTGAAGCGAAATTATTGATAAATAAGTGTCAGAATAGTGCAACAGCTTACGCATAAAACGTGGTCTGCCCGTAGCGACGTTGAAAGGGTTCGATGAAGCGCCAAGCATTGCGCAGTGCAGCCTTCTCCACAGCCGTGAAGCCATTCTCATCGAACCTCCTGCCAATGTCCCGCTCCGCCAGTGGCTTTGGGTATACAGGCAGAATGATAGATGGACGCTCCTCTTCATCCGGCAACTCTATATTAATTTGACTGTCCATTTTGTATTTATTTATGAACTGTGTTTTGATATTTACTACATATTTGTGTCAGTTTTTGTTTAAAATGCCAAGCCTACTAGATGAGATATTTGAAACAGCTTGGGGGGGGGGGGGCTCGGAAGTGAATGACTCAGCTGAAAGTTGTTTTCTTAGAAACCTTTATTGTGTGGATTAAACAGGTATTAGGTTTATTTAGCTATTTGTGTTTGCTAAATACTTTCTACTCCTCACAGATATAGCCACATCTCAGTTGCTATGAATACAAACGTATGGAATTGGCATACTCCTGGGGATTACGGCAAGTGGGGCAATTGGCAGTCACGCTCAGAGCTTGCTGCAGGCAATTGCCACAGAACATGTGGCCGCAAGCGGTGGCACGCAGATCCTCCAATTGGTTAAAGTTACCAAGGCATATGCCGCAACGCAAAGTATCAGAGCTCTCACGGTCATTCGCGGCAGGCGAATTGATCTGCACACGAATCAAGCCCAGATCTGGAGAAGCGCCGTGAATCAGGCTTAATTGGTAGGACGATGTCTTAATCGTCAGGTTGTTGCCACCTAAAACTCAATAAATTGTATATATTTTATAAGGATTTTCTTGCTGTTTGCCTACCAGTACTTGAAACATTTATGGTCGAATCAATATTGCTCACTAGTTTGATGTCAAACACGATCGGTGGTGGGGGCCCGTTATTGCTTTGCGGGTAGTGGTCCGTGTTATGTGACCCTGCCGCCGGATTGGCAACTGGCAAGAAACACACGTTCTGGTACTTTTCAAATATTTCACTTAAGTATTTGCAAAACCTACCGAACATTATGGGATTGATATCTTCGGCGATCAACACGTTTGGTTGATTTGGTGCATCTTGGTCTTGATTCTGCTCGTTGTTAATTATATTGTCGCTCATTGTCGCAATATTTTCAGCAAACGAAAATGCGTCCTGTGCCGTTGAGAAATTAATGCTTAATAATTTTCTTCCGTCTCGCAATGACAGAAGTTACTTTTTTTCAGTGTTGCGAGATGGGCAATCGTTATCGATGGAAACGGGTTCTCAACACTAATTATGTCACAAATAAAACACTGTTCGCATAAATATTTGTATTTATATGTATATATATTTTCATTAAATAATTTAACATCGCTTTATTCTCACGCAAAGAACGATTTCGGTTTTAGGTTGTATTTTGTTTTGTTTTTGTTTTTTGCTTTCCATAATTATGAGATAATTTTTATTGTTATTTTGTTTTTGGAATAAATAATAAGTTAAGTTTACTTGCACACACACACACACACACGCACATGGTATGGTTGGCATGTGGCATGGTTGCAGTGCGCAATCGTTTAATTTACGGTATGTATATATGCAAAGTATATATGTATTATTAATTTTGTTATGTAATTTTATGTGTATGTACCGGCTGTATTATGTCTATATATATTAACGTTACAGTTTACTTGTTTCTTTTTGTGGCAGTGGTAAGTAGAGAGTATTATCAGAGTACCGTTCATTCTGCACTCGAAACGATCATTACAGTTGGTTTGGGCCATGGCGTCGTCGCTTTCTGTTATTGGATTCCCTTCTGCGGCTTAGCTCTGTCTGCTGCGTCTGGCAATATACATACATATGGAGTAAGTATGTTTAGTTTGCTTGGGGTTTTTGCTCTATTAGTATATGCAATTGGAATGGAGAGGATATAAAAAAAAGAGATTGGAATTTCTGGCAAACTTAAAGCATTCTAAATTACATTTTAAATTTAGTTTGTTCTTTTTTCGCTTCGATTTATGGTGGGCTTTAGACAAATTATTTCAAAGTTTTGATCGGTAATGGGTGTTCGTTTTTTTCTTCCTTGACTACTCCAAAAACTACTCGCTATCTGCTCGCCATACGATTTTTTAACTATTCTTTAGACTATTTCTTAATCCGTTTTATTATTAAATTTGCATATTAAGTAGTTAGCAAAATGCTGGTGGTAATATTTTTTGTTGTATTATTTCCGCTAATATTTCACTATTACTTTACGTTTTTGGTATATTACTTTTTTCGTTTTTAGTTCAATGACGCGCTAGAAAGGGTTTCAAAATGGTTCTAAACAAAAAGGCAACTCTGGGGACAACTCTGAGACTGGGGGATTCCGAAAGATGTGTACACTATTTAATACATGAATGTGTGAAAAACTCTCCTTTGTTTTGTTGTTGCTTCGTTTCATTGTGTTTTGTTTGTTTGTTTTGTTTTGGTTTTCAGTCTTTTCAACAAATTGATTGCTTGGATTTTGTTTGTAAATTTGTTTTGCTGGATTGTTCTTGATGTGGCTGCGTATTTTGTTTCTCTCTAGTTATTTGCTGATGTCGGTGTTGTTGGTTTTCTTCGGTTTGTATCAGCTTCGGATCTTACTACGGTTTGTAAGATTGATGTACAACTAAACATTTGATGGAGCATGCTCATGATTTTGTTACACTTAGTTCTTAAGTACGTTTTCCCCTGGTTAATATTACTTTGCTTATTATAACTCGCTAACGCCCTGAGCATTTGGTCTCCATTTACTTGTTAAGTTCGACAGAAATGTTTTACGAAGTTGCTTCAAAAAACCCAAAACAAAATCCCCATAAAGCGTCAGAGGGTGCTCAAAGAGTAAGTACAGGGAGTAGGGCGTAGAGAAGTAAATGAAACTTTAGGCACATTTAATACACACATAAATTCACATATTCATTTTTATATACTTATCCAAACAGCAAACACAACTGAGCTCTCATCGATTTCGACTTTCGACTTTGAAACATAAAACATAATCGGAATCTGCGTGTTTTTTGTTTACTAGCGTTACCATTTCGATTCGATTCTATTACGAATGCTTATAATTTGTTGTAGTTTTTTAGTTTTACTTTCGCTAATACTCACTCGTACTTAATGAGTGTTCGATATTGTGCAATACATTTCGGTAAATTAGTTCGTTCTTCCGTGTCTTTGCATAATTCATCAATTCATATTTGCTCAACATATTTTTTGTGTGTGTTTCTGTGTGTGTTTTTTCTCATGTGCCAGCTAACAGATCCGATGGCGCTATTAGTTTTAATTTAGTTTATTTAGAATTAGTTATTTACGCTAAGTTAAATGCATATACAATTTGTAGTACTTGGTTGCCTGCCAATCAATCATGATTTTGCTTAAGTTTAGTATGTAACTATGTATATGTATGTATTATGTAGTTGCTGCTCGGCCGCTATTCATTTTGGTTTACAGTAAGTATGTACCACATTCAGCGTCAATTTGGTTGCTTTACTTGTTTAAATGTACGATATGACACAGTGATATATATTCCATAGTATATGTTATTCTAAAGTACAAGTACAAATACATATCGAACCGGGGTTGAAGCCCAGAGCACGCAGCTCAAGCAAAGAACACACCACGCAGCCCTACAGTTCACTTCACCACACCACAACACACCACAACACATTCGTTTCATTCCACCACCAAATCCCACCAACTGCTCATTCGCTACTCTTTTCCCCTGCCACCCACACGTGCATCTTAAGGCTAAAGCTAACTACGACTAAGAAGCCACAACGATTCGCAAATCAATTGAAGTTTCCTCTCCTAAGTACTTGCGATACTGCCTCCAAAGTTTCTCCATCTACTAGTATATGTGGAATATGTTTCGAATTTGTAACCTTTGGGTCGTTCAACGATTAAAGCTTTTGGGTGAACAAATTAAGAGAACTATTTGGGTGGGGACTCTAGAGTAATTACTGGGGCGGGGTATACTATATATATTAAATATTTGTAAAATGAAGGCGACAGCAGTAGTAACATTGACGTTTCTTTGGTATGTAATAATCGAGTACGACATTAAAATCCTATAAAATCAATAACCAGGATGGGGCCAGCTCTAGTGAGTCTGCAAAATGAACACTTGTTGTTTGCTCCTTTGTCTGATTTGCAGTTGCTGTTTTTTAAAAACTCCTACACTCTATATGCAATAATTAACAATTCACTATATAAAAATCAATTTGCCTCAACTAGATGTATGTTTTTTGTGTGGTTTATAACTCTTTGGTTTTGAGAATCATGTGTAACACGTTCATTTGTTTTTTATTTGTTCTCCATTCGTATAAAATAAATCTGACAACAAGTAACCGAATAATTATCTATTTAAAATCTCAACGCTTTTCCACTACCCTTCTACACTCTTCTTTCCCTCGCTCGAGGTACAGTACAGTACATCAACAGCATCAACGCTCTGATCAATATTTTGTGTGGTTAGTATTTAAATTTAAAATCAAATAATGCACAATTCTTGGCTATGAATATGTTTTACTAATAATTGATTTGGAATTTGAATCTGAGCATTGAACATTTGAATTCCGTATTGCGTTAGCTTGTTATTATTTCATTTATGGTTTTGGTTGGGGGGTTCTCTTGTAGGAAGTTGTACTCTTGCATGAAGACGAATGATTATGCTTGGTGTCAATCGTATGTATGTTTTGGGGATAGCCAACACAAACCTCTCTCCATAGACTCGTATATTTATTGCTTAAGATTCTCCCTGACTGGCCTAATTGAAATCATATTTTTCCCTATGCTAATATGTTTTATGTGTATGCAACTGCAATGCCTGCAATAAGCCTAGATGTCTATGAATATATGTAGGTTGCTATGGTATGACTATGACTAGAAACTAGCTTGAACTGACAAACATTGACTAGCTGACTAAACAGAACGTTGCAAGTACATTGTGGGTATTTACAGTTTCGTAGGATTAATTTCTTGATATATGTTTTTTTTTCATAGATTTGTTAGACGAGTACGATTGGGATTTTAAGCACACAGTTGGCCGCACATATACATATACATATTTTAGTTGTATATACTATGTAAAAAGCTTTTTGGAAACATAAATGCTGTAAAATTCTGTCCCTCAATCGCAAAGCGTGTTTAATTGTTTTTGTTATTGTATAGTTATAACTTTTTACTTTTTAGTGTTTTTTTTTTTTGTTAGTTTTTGTTTTTCTCCATCGTTTGTATAATTATGTTTAAATGTTTATAAATATTATACTGTATTGTTGTATATTAGTGTGTATATCAGACTTTGTTTCATACCAAAAACTAAGCACATCGATTCGTCAATAAATTCATGTATTTGTATGTGTGTTTTTTTTTTAATTTTTTACTTGTGTGTTTGTGATGTCTGCATGGGAGCTCCAAGGATTTCTTGTTTGCATTTCGAAGCATAGCTTATACAAATTTTGGTATGTTTGGATATAATTGTATAAGTTTTTCTATTACATTCATGTGTAAGAGGCGTAGAGAAACATTTGTAGGCAAATATATATTGCTCGAAAAGTTGTCCAGTAATTTACTTGTCTTGTCTTGGGCTTGTTTGCTTTTAGTTTTTTCACATACATAAAGATATAGTATAGCTGCTTTATAGAGTAGAGAGTTGGTCAGATTGAAACGCACACATCGCATACGGCTGTGTGCTGTCTGGTTGGTGTAAGGATTAGAAAAAGTTTGCGGAACGAGGACTCCTTTTTTTGTTTTATGTACAGACTATGTATTCCAATATGTAGATGGGGGTACTATGCAAAAATATTTCATTAGCATAGATTGCACATCTAGCATGTATTTATGGGCATGTACATAGGTAAGTATGTAAGTCTGTCTGTATATATGTAGAAATTGTTGTTGACTTTTTTTGTTATGTTTGCTTGTAAAAATTAAATGCGCGATCAACCTTTTGGTTTAAGTTTTGTTCATGTTCTGCTAGTGTTTCATTACTATTTATTATAATTTGTAATTTGTTGTATACGATGTTTGTCATTCTCTTCTTTGGGGGCCATTCAAAAATACTGTTCGTAAATGTTATTGAATTCGGATTTATGGTTAGCTAAATGGCTGCCCAATCATTCGCACACACACACACACACACCATACACACATACACACTCACACATACGCACAG